TCTCTCGATAACTGTTAAGCATTGATCTTCCGTCGAGTCTTCCAGTTTTTATAAGATTCTCCTTGTAAATAAATTGTTGAGTTTCTGGGACGAAGTTAGAAATAAACAGCAAGACGGTCAAACATCAAATGACAAAAAATGGTCTCTGAGTCGGCAGATCTGCGCATAACTTTCGGTTAATAAATTAATTCTTTGAAAATAAATATTTAACATTTTCCAACAGACGGATCACATTCCTGCCAGCAATAAAAAAAATATGTTTTAGTGATCCCTTTGAAGAGTATTTAAGTAAAGTCTCTAGACGGACAATACCAGTAAGGAGAGAGAGAGAGAGAGAGAGAGAGAGAGAGAGAGAGACGGATACATGCGACATCAGTTCCTGATAGCGGCTTCAGTTTCACTTGTCTTCCACACCAATCTGTGTGACACACTTTCCTCCTCACTTTCTCCCTTGCTTCCTTTTTCTTGCACATACACGCGAAAAAATATTTCTTTTTTATCTTAACAAACCAAGAACTTTAATACAAGAACTTTAATACACTTACAGGCTGATAGAAATTTAATTGTAAAAAAAGAAAATAAAAGTAATTTGTATTTCTATATTTAAAAAAATTTTTCGCATTTTTTTTTGTGGATTGATTTAAATCCGCACCAACCTTCCTCACTAAAAGTGATGCCGAATGAAAATACTTTCTATTCAATCTGCGTGTGTTTAGAAAAACGTTTTCCGGACATAACATTTTTACCGACTTACCACCTATGTTTTCAAGTGAAACATTGACCGGAAGTAGGGTAATGTTTGTTTGTTTGTTTGTTTAGCGGCATATCAACAACTTATGAGTCATTTGATGGTGAAATTTAATTTTTGAGGGAGCATTAATAATTTCTTTTACAAAAATGTATTGCTGGTAATATTTTTTTTCTTTTTCAAAAATGTATTGCTGGCAATATATTTTTTTAAATATTGCTGGTAATATATATATATATATATTTTTATGTTTATACATTTTTTTCTATAGATACAAATATTTAAGTAAATGTTCTGTTTATAATAAACAGTATTAACAACATTTACCGGCTTGAATGCCCGAGAAATTGTCATAGAAAACCTGAACCTGTATCCTATACGGAACCGTCATATAGTCTGACGCGCTTTTACCGATTTTTTTCACTATCAAAATTTATTGCTGGTATTTTTTACTATACTTTTATAGTGTTTTGACCCCAGTTTGCAACCACCCTTGTCACTGTGGACCTGAAAACAACAGCAATTAAGAGGTGGTTCCACGCTCCTAGTATCTCCCGATCAGAGGCCTTGTTACCTGTAGTTCATCGTCATACCCAGGTCGAGAGTAATGTTGATGCAAAATCACACCCCAGTTAAAAAAGATACTATAAATTCGAACAATGATCTTTTAGATTTAATATATGTGGAATGTTTTTGTAATCGTTCTGATCTTGTCTCTTTTTGATAAAACCGTTCCGTTTTTCTTACGTTATAGATTTAACTCTTTAGGTTTTAATATTTTTTTGTAATTCTTTTCTCATCGGATTTATTCAACCTATACAGCAAGGCAATTCTGAGAGTGCTAGAAATCCTACCAGGATTCATCATTGGTGGCCACAATCTTAACAATATAAGATATGCAGATGACACAGTGCTGATAGCAAACACGGAAAGGAAACTACAAAAGCTCCTACAGAAGGTAGCGAAGGAGAGCGAGTAGAAGGGACTAAGCATAAACTACAAGACGACAGAATTCATGGTCATCAGCAAAAAGATGAGCCCAAAATGTAACTTACAGGTCGCAGATACTAAAATCAAGCCGGTACAGTAATTTAAATATCTTGGAAGTGTTCTAACATAGGACGGAAAGAGCAACACTCAGATCCGAAGACGTATTGGAGTGGCCAAAGACGCATTCTGAAAGCTAAGCAGAGTATTACGAGATAGAAAAGTGTTGTTTGAAACAAAGAACAGAGTATCGAACTGTTACGTGATATCTATCCTCCTGTATGGCAACGAATGCTGGACAACCTCCTCAACAATGAAGAAGAGACTCGAAGCAACAGAAGTGTGGTTCTACAGAAGGATGCTGAGGATACCATGGACCGAACATGCGAGCAACGACGAGATTTTGGAGAGAATAGAAACAAAGAGTAAACTTATACTCAACATCAGGAAGAGGCAGTTGAAATTTCTGGGACATGTAAGGAGGAAGGAGGGCTTGAAAAGTTTGATACTCACACGACAGATAGAGGGCAAGAAGGACAGGGAAAAGCAATGAATAACATACTTAACGAGCATGAGCAAATGGATAGCAGAATAGGGTTTGGATGAAACAACAAAAAGACAAAATTTATTATTAAGAGCTACAACAGAAAGGATGATATGGAGGGTCGTGATCGCCTACGTCCTGAAGAGATACGGCACATAAAAGAAAGAATTCTCTTTATTTATTTATCCATTTTATCTTTATATTTTAACGAATTTTAATCATTGAGAGTCTTTTTAGGTCTCTACCTCCCCACAAGTGACCAGGTAGATTTTTATCAAGAATTCATCACTAGATAGATTACTAAGCAAAGTTACTCAGGGGGTGAGGACTTGTGAAAATAGCAAATTGTGATTCATGTCACAATTTAGTGTGGTGGGACTGTGTCCTCAGCCGATACTACACACAGCGCAAGATTGCATTTTTATGTTCTTAGGAAAAGTAGATCATCTTCAAATAGTCCAATTACCTAGGTTAGATTTGTAGATATCAGGGCATATGCACACTGTACACTGTACACTGCCCAAGCAATGGCTACTTCGAAAATGAAGTTCACTTGTCTAAAACAAAATGTAAACCTTACTTTTCATTTACATGATGTACATTCGGATTTTGTTGGAATTCTCACAATATTTCGGCCGTTGTACACTCCGGCCACTATCAAGTTTCTGTCATCCGGGTAACCTTCAAAGAATTTCGAACTGAACCCTTTATTCAATCTACATCTATGCTACTCGGCCTAGTGGATTAAAATGTGAAACTGGTGACATATTAAATGTGAATTCCTAGACTAAGTAGTACAGACTTAGACTCAATTGAAACAGGGCGAGCAATAACTGAGATTGTGAAAAAAAAAAAAAAAAAAAGATGAGAAAATCATTTTTTAATCATTCTAATCTGGGCTAACGTTCTCAGCTGACATAATGTGGAAAGACTATATTGAATCAATTGCTAGGTCAGCTGCCAAGAAAGTTGTTTCACTGTATCGTGATAGACAGTTTTTCTCTCCAGATCTGTCTTTCATATCTACAAGTATACAACTCGTCCATGCTTAAAATATTATTGTCACGTATGGTCGGGTTCTCTGTCTACCTAGAGTACCTTGATAAAATACAAATATAAATACAAAGAAGAATCAGCAATATTATTGGCTCTGACCTGGCATCTAGGCTTCAGTCACTACCGAAAGGTTGCTTCCCTGTGTCTTTTCTATAAATAATTTCATGGCAATTGTTCAAATGAGCTCTTCGCTATGGTGCCAAGTCTTTATGAATTTAAGCACAGTACTAGATTGGCGACTAGGTTTCACTAATTTATAGTTGAGCTGGCTAGATGTAACTGTAAGTTCTATGCTAACAGTTCATTTTCTCGCACTTCTCGCTTGTGGAACTTCTTCCCGACTCCATGCTTTCCATCCAACTTTAATCTGCAAAAATTTAAATGTAATGTCAATCGCTATTTGCTGTCCTCCTGATTACTCTTCCTCTGTTCTCGCTTCTTAGCAATGTTCCTATTCCTAATTCTCCCACCCAGTAACTCCTTCCGACTCTGTAGCTTTACTACTTTGCTTGGGGTGAACTCGATTAAAAAGAAACAAATTTCACCTCAAACAAAACGATAAAGCCACTAAGACACGAGGGGTTACTCAAACGGAAAAAATCTGAGAAAATTTAGGAGATAATTAATGAGAAAGAAAAATAAAATAACTGGATTCAAAGCGACAGAAGATGGCGATTGATACTGCATTTAAATTTTTGAAGATCAAAGTTGACCCAAAAGCAAGAAACATGAAGAGTTCCACAAATGATAAGTATAAGAGACGAAACTGTGTGCATAAATCTTATAGTTACAACTACAAGCGAGAAGTGCGAGAGAAGAAACATTATCATAAAACTTACGGTTGCATCTAGCAATTTCAATTGTAAAATGATCTTGCTGCCAATCGAGTACTGCGTTTAAGTTAAAAGCTCACAATAATAATTACAATGAAAATATTTATAGAAAAGATACAAGGAAGCTACGTTATAGCGGTGGGAAAGTGACCGAGATGCCAGTCCAGGACGGTTAACATTACAGATTCTTCTTTGGATTATATCAAGAATCTCAAGATACATATCAGAAACACCAGTCCAGATATGGATGAATGGTAGACTTATAAAGTTGTATGATAGACATGGACAGCGGAAGGAGAGCAATTTACTTCCGTTAAGTTTGAAATTCTTTTGGCCTGTCAAGAAGGCCAAAAAGCACAGCAGCCGAAACACTGTGATAACATCAACAAAGATGAAAGCATTAATCCGAATGTAAATGATGATAACTTCTCATCTAATTCAGATTTTACTTTTGATTTGAGTTAGCTATGATGACAAAAAGTTTTACTTGGGGCATTTGTTTTGTCATTGACACCAACTGTTTCAGAGAAAGCACGAGTAAAACTATTTTTTACTCTCATGTGATGATGTGATCAAGAAGCTTTTAACTCAGACCACTGGCTAGTTGATTTTTGAGTGTTCCCCGAGAGCCAAAATATAATTGAATTAAAAAAAAATAAAATAAAATAAAACGAACTATGGCAATTTTTATGTAAGAATTAGTAAAGACCAGAAATTTTGGTCAAGGTCATTTGTTAACATTTTACAATATTGAAACATTTATTCTATTCTTTTAAATTTATCTTTCTATCTTTTTCTCTTTCCTTATTTTCACCCTTACTGTCTACTGTAGTCATTTTTCACCATCCTTTCCGCTCGTTCTTTTTCTTTCTCTTTCACTTTCTCCCTCTCTTTCTCCCTGTCTCTGTTCGGGTTGAAGGGCTCTCCCTTCTCCGCAATTGCTTCTCTGTTGTGACTGACGGAATCTCTTTCTGTGTGTGCGCGTGTGCGCGTGTGTGTGTGTGTTTGAGGGTTTCTCTTTCTTTCGCTCTCTGTTGTAGTTGAGTAGCTCTCTTTTTCCCTCCCCTTTCCTTTCTATTGTTGAGGTTCGCACACTCCTCTCTCTCTCTCTCTCTCTCTTTCTCTGTTGTGATTCACAGGCTCTCTTTCTCTTTCTCTCTGATAAGGTTGAGGTACCCTCTTCCTCTTTGTTTCTTTCTTTGTCTGTCATTTTCTCTCTTGTGATTGAGGATCTCTCCTTCCCCCTCTCTCTGTCGTGGTTGAGGGGGCTCTCCTTCCCTTTCTTTACGATTATGACTAATGGAATCTCTCTCTCTCTCTCTCTCACACACACACACACACACACACACACACACACACACACATACACACACACACATAACCCCCTCTTTCTTTCTGTGTCTCTCTCTTTGTTGCAGTTGAGGGTTCTCTTTCTCTCTGTGTTGTAGTTGAGTAGCTCTCTTCCCTTCTCGCTTTCTTTATGTTGTTGAGGGCCTGTCTCTCTCTCCCTTTCTCTTTCTCTCCTCTTTCTCTCACTCTTTCTCTATGTTCTGGTTGACGTGTAATGGTCACCTGATAGTAAAATGTCATATGCGAACCGACTCGAATATTGGCTGAGGCAAGATGGTCTTATGTTGACTTCTCACAAATGGCCTTGGGTAAAGGTGTGAATTCATTTCTCCTTGCGTTGCGCTAAATATTTTTACGGAATGTTTCTTCATTAGCATATCACAATGTTTAAATAAAAACAAAAGCGATAAACGCTGAGATTGGCTAAGTTAAACACCAGATGCCAAAATTGAAATTTTAAGCTAAGCGTCTCTGGATCTTTGACGTTTTTCATGTAAAACTGCAACCGATGCTTGTTGTATTTCTTCCACATAATATATATATATATATATATATATATATATATATATATATATATATATATAGGTAATCGATCCGTTGGTATATGATGTGTATCCTAATAATATTAATAATTAAAACTGATCCACAGAGAGCTCAATGTATTTATTATAACAGAGCATATGTATTTTTACAGCAAAAACCAAAAATACCTCAACATGAGGATAGTCTATTTCAAGCTGGTCTGCACGAAGCTATCATCAGCCCATAAGGAAATAGACTGATGATAGCTGCGTACAGACCAGCATGAAACAGACTATCCCCATGTTGAGGTATTTTTTTTGTGTGTGTGTGTGTGTGTGTGTATGACTTGCTGCGATTAATTTTGATCCCTGTCACTTCTCGTACCGCTCAAGTGCCTTCTGTACTACCAAAATGTCGCTACGGCACGACACGAAAATAGACACGTCATCGGCGTACGCGGAAACCTTGTCTCAACCTCCAGGGGCGGCTATTCTGTGTAGGGCCGGACTGCACGCCCTGCCCCTTAGCCGGCGAAGAAGGGGCTCTAACGCCAAAGCGTAAAGTAAGGGCGACAGCGGGCAACCCTGACAAAACAGACAGCGCAAAAGCGTTCGACCGCTTCCCGTTCCCCTGTACCACAAAACTGGGTGAGGCGATACAGGAGGCTGATCCACTTGCAAAAGTCGGGTTCAAATCTGGCAGCCTGCAGGACAGCTGCCAGGTACCGATGTTTAACCCTATCTTGGACTGATCTAAATTGACCATTGCGGCTTGCTCGTCGTGCGGTCCAGATGCAGGTTGCTTTGAATTGTTCGTCCCCTCACAGTACAAATCTGCTCGGGTCCCAGTAAGCTCAAGACAACTTAGTGCAAACGCTCCGTCAGGATCTTGGCCCAAATTGTTCTGGTTCTACAGTTATTAATTCCCGCCGAACACACTTGACCTTTTTCAAAAGCGTGATCACACCCCTGATGATCCGAGCGGGGATGGACACCTACCGAAACTAGTTGTTGAACACCAATGTCAAAATCGGAACAAAGATGTGCGAAAGCCTCAAGTACAATTCGTAAGGCAGACCATCAACTCTCGGAGACTTGGCACTGCCGACCCTCTTCAATGCCAAGTGAATTTGGCCCTCTGTGATCTCACTCTCGCAGCTAGCTTCTTCAGTCGAGGAAAGTCAGCCAAATAGCTGAGAAACTCGTCACCGCTGAGACCAGGCTCCTTGGTAAAACGGCTCTCGAAATACCCCCGAAATGCCTCACACATGCCCTTGGTCAACCTCAGAGTATGTCCCTCCGGGTAACGCTTCCTAGCCTCACTCACTGCTGCTTCGTCGTCTTCTTGGGTGAGACATCCTGCCGGGGGAGAGGGTAACCAAATTTTTCCCCTTCCTTACAACTTCCTTCCAAATACCGGAGCCACTTGCAGACTGCCCAGACTTATCTTCCTCCACAGTTTCCTTGGATGCTGATGGTTTGAGTTCTGCTGTCGTTGACTTTGGTGCCGCGTTTTCTGCCCGAGCATGTTTTTGACAAGTGCCCCGCCGCACCACAGGACCAACAATGGGGAAGACGACCTTCTACGATCACCGAGATATTGCGTCCTCAATATGACAGTATATCTGGGATCGCCATGAAATTTTCCCTGGCCATGGGGATTTCCAGTACAAAATCCTCCGTAGCTATTCCTGTTTTACTGGAAACGGCTGAAACGTTCTCAATTCAGAGCAAAACATTTACGAAAACACTAAAAAGCAGTCTACCTTGCTATCCGGGTTTTGACCGCAAGGTCTCCTCAGTAGAAGGTTGTACTGAAAGTCCCTTTAAAAAGATGTTCTATAACCATGCTACCTCTTTTATGCTGGAGGGCCACAGAAGTGAAAAAAACTTGCAGATTGTATTGGGCGGGGTGTAGAGAGATATATAGTAGAAATCCAATTGTAAAGTGGAGTATCATAATAAAGATGAAGCCAGGCAGATTCCGTGGCAACTGCTGCCGACCGTGCAAGAGGAGATGTTAGCTATTGCTACATATCCTAATAGAGATGTGCTACTGAATGAGAGATTTTCTCAAAGTTCAGGCATCTAAGTAAATATCTTTTGGGTATGTATGAACCCGGATGAGTGCAATGAATAGATTTTTTTGTTCCTCCTCCCCTCCCTTCCCTGCTCCTTTTTCCCCTTTTCCCTTCCCCTTAAACCTTTCATTCTGTGATCATATAAGTTAGTGGAATATACTAAATTGTTCATCCTTCTACTTGCCCGAGGAAACATTGCGTTCGAACCCGGGTAGACTGCTTTTTAGCGTTTTAAGAAATGTTTTTGCTCTGCATTTTCTATTTTGGATTTTTGTATTGAGCAGTTTTTAATGTTTATACCTTTTAGGCGCAGCTGTTTTCAGCCTCTCATTACAGTATATTATTATTATTATTATTATTATTATTATTATTATTATATATATATATATATATATATATATATATATATATATATATATATATATATATATATAATGTACACATGTTTGAATAGACATCCCTGTTTTTATTGTTATTTATATGCGAGTATTTATTTTTAACAGAAAGAAATGTTTAACGTTTCCTTCCAATACCTTATAAATAATGGACTATTCCGTTTTGATCGCGTGAAAAGTGGGGACAAGACACTACTTGGTTTCAGTGAGAAAAAAGAAAGAAAGAAAGAAGGGAAGATAGAAATGTTTTTATGGCTGTTTCAGTGAAGTGGAAAAAATTATCAATTTCAACTCTTTTATTTGTACCCACTTTTTAAAATGACGACAAGCATGAATGCTGGTCGTCATTTAGAATTGTTATTGCAATATTTTATTAAAGTTGTTAAGCTCAAATATTTAACTATGCGATAGGGTAATTTCTACGGATATTTTATTGTCATCTAACTCGCCATAAACCTACTCAATAATTAACTTAATAAGTAAGATTTATCAGAAAAAAAGGAAAACCGTGAAATTTTTACTGGTTAAAACTACTACTATTGCTACTACTACTACTACTACTACTAATACTACTAATACTACTTATTATTATTATTATTATTATTATTATTATTATTATTATTATTATTATTTCCTTTGATTTCTGTTTTTTACTCATTTCCGCCCGGGTCTCAACCAGAGATATAAGGTGAAAAATGGCATCATGACATTTTCACTGAACATTTTCTAACGTAAGAATACACACATTTTACATTGATAAAACCCTTCGTAAGGTGTCAGCGGTACTTGTGAGATCAAATTTTTGTATAATTTATTATTATTATTATTATTATTATTATTATTATTATGATTATTATTACTGTTGTTAACTATTTTCCTTCTTTTTACTTTCTTTTCTTGAAGCCATTTATCACTGCTGTCAAGAGAAATATGTACTTAAGAATACAACTTATTATTTTTCTTGTGTTAGACGACATTTTTGTTTTTAAAGAACATCACAAAGCCTTAACTCACTACACACATTCCCACATTGTGAATAAAAATATTTTCCCGACCGTACCCTGAAAAACGGTGAGCACATTTTAGAGTCGTACTCACTAACCTGGGTCTGGTAATGTGGTAAAGTCACGTACTCTGTTTCAGTGGAAGAAACAGACAAGCGACAAAAAAAGTGATTAAGACAGGTGAGTATTAGTTGATACGAGTTATCACCCCTAAGCTCGGAAAGCAGAATGACAATCACTGTCTGTGGAATAAAAGGTTTAATTGAAAATCCCAATAAGGTTATCAAATACAAATAACCTGAAAATGCTGGAGGTATAGCCGGATTGTGACCTTTTGGGGCTCCTAGGCTAATGAAATTATGGGCCCCAACTCAGACAGAGCCACCCTCTAACACTCTCGCACCCGTCTTGGATGTTTTTTTATTGGTCATATATTTTAGCGACATCTATGTACCTTGAAGTTAACTTATTGCAGATAAATAAACTAGAATAGCTATCTTTGTCAATAAAAATATTCTTTAAGAAATACCATTATTTATTACAAATGAAATTAGCACATATTTTAACTGTAGTGGAAAAAAAGAAAAAAAACAGATTTTTTATAACCAGTATTAACAATAAAACAATCAAAATAAATATGAGTTTGTTATTGATATAATTTCAGTTTATGAAACTATTTAGAATTTATAACATCAAAAAATTAAAATCACTGTTATATAAAAAAAAATTCTAAGATTAAACATTCTGAACTAATACGTTATCTATTTGAAACACAATGACACAAATCAAAACATTTTTTCCTTGCTTTGCTTCTTGCAAAGTCAAAAATTAAAATCATTCCTTTATAAAAGTTTGTGGGTTCCTAGGCTGCAGCCTATCCTAGACTGAAGGATAATCCGCTTCTGGTTGGATGGTACAATGGCTGATATTGTTGTGAGTATAACAACATGCAGATTTAAATAGAAGAATAAAGCGTGTACAAATCTTAAATGAATTCTATCTATAAACAGTTACTTTCCTCGGTATGACAATAAACTACATCGGCGTCCTGTGTAAGACGATAAACTAAGTCCAACAGCAAGGCCTCTGATCAGGAGATTTTGAGGAGCATTGAAACACCTCTTAATTGCTGATGTTCCCAAATCCACCCTGAACCGCGGTGGTAGCACCTGTTAGGGTCCCAGATATGGGCAAATAGTTAACCCCC